TTAAAATTAAAAGGGAAATAGTTATTTGTTATGCGAGTGCTTGTATTGAAACTTGAGCAAGCGAAGGATGCTAAGAGTCGTATTCTAGAACTCTACTCAATGCTCAAGTCAGGATTGCACTGGAAACACGAGCATTGGAAATACGACCCTAATGGCAGGTACTTGAGTATGATTTCGAGTGCTTTAAACCATACTCAAATCCTGACTTGAGCATTGCGTAGAGTTCTAGAATACGACCCTAAGATTCAAAAATAGAATCCTGAACATAGCGAGGGTTTCAAGGCACGAGATGCAAAACAACTTTGCTGCCGAGCAAAACACACAAATTTTCACCTCACTATAGCGAGGGAAATGGTAGATGAAAGAAAAACAGTTGAACAGTATTATAACAAATCAGGTTTTCATTACCGCTAGACTCAGACTCGCTCATGTTTTGTTTCTTTTCAATTTATTACAGAACAATTCAATCCAAAGTATTGAAATTGATATGATTAAAATGAAAATTAAAAAAAATAAGTTTAGTCTTGGGTACGTTCTGAATTTACACCACATACGTTTTCTTCTTCGTATTATAATTTCATGTGGTTAACGAAATTATTTTAGTTCTTTGATAACTTAAAAAAATCCAATAAAACAAAATTAGTGTTATCAAATTAATGTCAATATTAATAAGAATAAATTATACCAACGGATTAATATTATATAAATGCTTAATGTAATAGGTACTTATGACGAAACGCGTTTCGGAACGTGTCATTATTCTTTGAGCCATGTCTTCGTTTAATTATTTTTCTGTAAATATGGCCGCCACAAAGAGGATAGGCAATTTGAGGCGGCGTGCTTGAATTGACTCGGGATTCCTTAGAACGGGCCGATACGGGTATTTTAGTTCTAGATTCGTATAATTTCGCGTTTTAATCTTCGATTAAGGCACAATAGCACTATCCTATTCCACTTTAAACTAGATTTCACAAAATAATTGAAAGTCAAAATAAAAACGACACTTTTCCCTCCAAAAGGCCCAGAGCGAATCCACTATTTTTTTTAGTCAAAAGAAAAAAATTATTTGCGTTCTGAATTAGCATCTCATCGATTTTTATTCTGCTTGTACTTATTAATTATTAATAATTAATACAATTTTGTATTATTTTAAGCAGCGCTTAATTCTTTTTTTTATACTTTACAGGCAGATACCTAGTGCAGTGTTGATACGATCACGGTCCTAGCCACCTCAACTGCCACATATCTCTTCACGCCCCGTTTATTGAGGGAATACGTTTAAGGGTGATTCACATTAGACCGTGACGGGCGCATGCCGTGTCCGAGGCATCTAAGCCTCGTGTTTACGCTTGAATACGAATGTAGTTATATCACGTAGTTATATCATATTATAAAGCACTGGGTATTTTTTTTAATATTTCATCTTCCATTTAAAAAAAATAACGTAGTCACTCTCTAAAGTAGCACACGCGGACGGGGTGCATACGACGCGCTGGAGTGTTCACATTACAACGGGCCGAGACAGGCCGGGCTGCATCCGAAGCTCGAACGTCCTCGAAAGCAGCTCGGGCGTCTCTCGTCCGTGTCACGAACGCGGTACGTTGTAATGTGAATCACTTCATATAAAATGTACGCAGCATTTCTAATCCGAACCTCGTAAATGGCTCGGCCCGCGCCCGGCACGGTCTAGTGTGAATAGACCTTTAATCATATATTTCATAACTATCATAAACCTGTGTTCTATTTTAAAAACAATAATAAATTTACAGGCGTCCCGCTCTGAGGAGAAAAAATGGCCACGTTAGTTATAGATCTCGTATCACTGATTTCAGAAATAAATGTTAATAACTTAATTTTACTCAAAATGCCTAATACGCCATTTATAATAATAAGGGCAGAATAAGTAAAGCCTTTAGCAAAGTAAATGCCAGAATAAACGTCATTATAATCCTTCTTGATCGTTTAATAACAAACAGGCTGTGGCGTCAACGACTCTTTGAAGACTTCCGGAACTTTCTCCGACATTCAAGTTCAGAGTTCTGGAAAAGCTAAATTATTGTTATATTCTGTGGTATTCAAGTGCCACAAATTATGTAACCTAAAACATTTTCTAGTTTAAACCAGGCTATTGGTAACACGGTCCAGTTGTTCAAATAGTAAGTAGCAGTGGAGTATGTTCTGAAAGAATTTGTCCAGGGAAGTATCTACTGCCACCTTACCTATTTCTGCCGCCAAGCAAGTACGAGTAAGGTTGCTGGTGAAATTATAGGCACATGGGACTTGTCAACTTATGTCTCAGGGTGACGGGCGCAGTGGCAGTGCTTCTCTGATCTTTTTTTTATAATATCAAGTGACGGGACGAACAAATCGTGCGCCTGATGGTAAGCGACACGCCTGTCCATGACAGTTGCAGTGCCACTCCCGAGCTTTAAATTGCAAAGATCTGAAGGGCACTGCCACTGCGCCTGTAACCCTGAGACGTAAGTTGACAAGTCCCATGTGCCTGTAATTTCACCGCCCTTCAAAAACCGGAACACAGTAATGCTGACATTGAATAGGTAAGGTGGCAGTATTGCTACTTAAATTCCTTCTATCTTTGCGATTTAAAGCTCCGAAAGGCAACTGTTATGGACCGGTGTGTAACTTTCAGTGATCAGGCGCACGATTCGTTCACTCATCACTTGATATTCTATAAAAAACTTATCGGGATATTCAACACAATTTTATAAACATTAAAACCGATCTCAAAAGTTTGTGGTTTACATGTATTTGCCAAGTTTCATTGAAATGTGTTTACGGATAGTGAGTGAAATCCAATAAACCAAATTCATCCCCTAATTCGCCACCCTTAGAGGTGGAATATCTCCTTCAAATTTGAATGAGACTACTACTGAAGCACCCCGTTTATAACAAAAAAAAATAATCTTTGAAATCGGTTCACAAATTTCGAAGTAATTGCGTGACATACACACAAAAAAATACAGTCCAAATTGAGGACCTCGTTCTTTTTAGAAATCAGTTGCAAACGTGTGAATATAGAATATAAATAATGAATGCATACCATGAATTATCTTCTTAAATCACGTCATTAAAATCAGTACACTATACATTAAGTACTGCACACACAATACTTTCCCTTATACACATTTTTCCAAACAAAATACACAACTACACAATAACACACGAACGTATAAACATTTTTTTTAAATAGTTCTGTCTGAGACACGTATTATAAGCTTAGGAAATGTGAAATTAGTAATTTTTTAGCACAAAAAACTTCCTATTCAGACGTTCAGCTCGTTTTATATAAAGATTTATACTGTTCCATGTTGTATCTAGGTATCTACCCGTTTTGTTATAGAAATACCTAAAGGCGTTACTATGTTATAGACATACGGTTGATTTTCGAGTGCTTCTGAAAATGGGGTGGCAAAGAAGACATCCCATTTGCGACTTTCCACCCCTTAAGTAGAGAATAGTGAGGAGACGGGAATAACGTTATTTTAAGCGTTACGGATGCATTGTTTTTTGTAATAAATAATTGTTTATTTTTTCAATTATTTTTGTGACATTACCGGCGATCTCACCTTAGCGTGGCTGACTTTCATAACTTTCATAGATTTCTCACAGATGGCGCTGTGGCAAAAAGTCGTTAAAACCAGAAACAAAAATCTGCAACAACCACATGGAGAAATTCGTAAAGTCGAAGAAATTTTGCTTTGTCTTCGATCTTTGTATAAATAATTATTTTATTTTTGGTAGAGTTAAAATAATAATAATAATAACGCACACACTCAACATAGCCCCGCATTAGGGAGACCCTGAGTCGCAGGTGCCACACATAAACAATCACAAATTACACCCAAACTTACGAGATAAACAAATGTAGGCCATACAAATATTTCTCCCGGACCGGGAATCGAACCTGTGACCTCTGTGTGGCAGTCCGGCATGGTAACCGTTCGGCCACGGGGGCAGTTAATATAATACTAACCCATTGGACTTGTGGCATGTCGGGTCCAGTGCAACAGCACAGACACGCATATAAACAAAAAAAGGAACAACTATAAAAAAAATTAAAACAATTTACATGATTATGCAGTAACTTACCCTCATGAGCGTCGCGGCTGGTACAATCGGGACTTGCTCAGCTTTAGCCACAACCTATTTTTTTTTATAACGGTGTCGTGGTGCGGATTAATTAAGTAAACAAAAAATATTTGAATTCGTCAGAATTCAGAAGAAATACAAGTTGAACGACACACTAGAAACATTATACATCAATATCGCGCTATACACAAATAACGTTATTCCAGTTCGTTATGAAAAACGTTAAAGACATCCCATCACTACTGCCACCCCAAATAGTGTTGCCAGCTTGTAAAATCTGTCTTCAATTAATTAAGGGGTTCGTTTTTGTTATTTATAGGTATATTCAACTCGTTAATTAGAGTGGCAACTTGGGGGTTGAAAACGCGAATCATCCCCTTTGAAGGGTGGCGACTTTATTCGACCTCTAATAACTCAAGGATGACTTCATTAATTTAGAAGACTTTTGAGTGCAAAGTTGTCGGTTTTAACACATTTACATTGTACTGCTGATGGTTCTTATGCCTACCCCCTGGGTAGGTGGGTACCACCACCCCTGCCTTTTTATACGGGAAAACCACACTACTGTGTTCCAGTTTGGGGGGTAGGGAAGCCAATATAATCATAGGAAATATTTTCGTCTGTGATTTATGGGATACAAGCGGTAATGTAAGCATTACTGCATTCCAGTTTTGAAGGGTAAGGGTGCTGGTGAAATTACAGGCACATGGGACTTGTCAACTTGTCTCAGGGTGACAAGCAAATGACAGTATCCCTGATCTTTGCGATTTAAATGTCTAAGTGGCACTGCAACTGTTAAGGACAAGCCGTGACTTGGTATCACAAAAAAAACAAAAATTTAGAAATAAATAATGTTAAAAGTAATCTATATCTATAATTTTATTTACCTCATTACACAAACATTAAGTTAATGTTCTATTTATTTAACCTAAATTATTTATAATTAAGCTAGCTTGCTTATGTCTTCATATTGAACGCTTTTCACAAGTCTACCAGTCAGAGGTCCTTCAGATATCTGGAATAAAAGATGTTATATTAGCTGGAGTAAATTGGTTTACGCCCTCGATACGACATGAATGAATGAAGTGAACCAGTGGACAAAGAATAAATTAAAATATGGAGTAGACTAGAGTAAACTAGCGGATAATAGAGTAAACTGATGTAAACAGAATATATGTGGAGTCAATTTGGAATAAACCTTTAATTTATTTCTTCTGAAATAATTTGAAAATTTTTTTTGTTAAAGCTGAAAAAGGTGTTCCACATATATAGCTACATGTATAGTACAAGGAGCGATATCGAGGTGTGAAAACCACGAAATATTAATTAATTACTTTTTCGAATTCCGGATTTCCGGAAATGATTTTATTGCATCGTACGACAAAACTACTGATCTAGGAAGTTGAAGTTAGATTTTAAAATAATTCTAATGGTGCCATGTAACTATGCAGTAGATAACTGACCATCGCCCATCGCTAACACACATTGACGGAACGGCAACAAGGCTGTCAGTTATGTACTGCATTTTTTATACAGCACCATTAGAATTACTATAAAATCTATCTTCGACTTCCTACGTGTGTAGTTTGTCTTACGATACAGTAAAACCATTTCAGAAAATCCGAAATTCGAAAAAGTTATGAATTAATATTGGATGGTTTTAACATGTATCTGTAGGTATATGTGGGACACCTTTTTTCGATCATGGTTATAAGTAAGATAGAAGGCGAAGAAATTTGATATACCATAATTTCACGAATCGCCATGGGGTATGCAGATGCTACAGATGCATCAGCAATTAACTAGAAACACTAACCTCAACATTGCAGCAGTAGTTATCGGTGTCAATGTCCTTAAGCAACCCGGTCTCGCCCCTGTACGCCCCGTTTACGAATCGTACTGCGCGACCTACTGACGGGATCACGGTCTCGAGATGATTCTGGAAACAAATTAAACATATAAGCTTTCCAAAAAAAAACCTTACTTCCAATCTAGTATGTTTACTATTACTAACATTACAGAACAAAAAAGACAGTAGAAGTACTCAGTGGGCGTGACACTTGCGCCAACAGTACACGGAGTTCCGCATACTCAGTCCGCCATTTTGGCTTTGTACGTTATGGTCATGTCAATTATCTCGAAAATCGTCGGAAAATTACAGTCGCACTTGTAATATTACCATGGTGGTGTTTTATATCATCGTAAAGTCTTATTTTAACAAATTTTCCATTTGCTGTTCATCGCAATAGATTTTTTGTTATAAAAAACGAAAGTAAACTTTGTACCCCTTCAAGATGGTCGACTTTTTTTGGAGAACTAATAATAATAATAATAATAATAACGCACACACTCAACATAGCCCCGCACTAGGGAAACCCTGTGTCGCGGGTGCCATGGACACACATATAGACAACCACAAATTACACCCAAACTCACGAGAGAAATAAATGTAGGCCATACAAATATTTCTCCCGGCCCGGGAATCGAACCTGGGACCTCTGCGTGGCAGTCCGGCATGGTAACCGTTCGGCCACGGAGGCAGTTAAAAACTATTTGTAAACATTTCGAATTTTCCACGCTACTAATAGGCGTTAATGGTTCGTCGTCTTTTAGTAATTGACCGCTAGATGGCAGCACATTTTAATGAAAATTCAATACAAAATCAAAAACTTTTTCAATTTATATTTCGTTTTAAGGTAATAAGTTCAAACGTGAATACATCCTCCCTGACTGGTATTTACGTTAGTGCCTTCTTTTGTTGTCCTTTTTATACCATATCAAAATCCGATGAATTATGTCATGGGACAAAATTTACGATGTTAGTAGTATAGTCCTATGAGGTTATTGGTGTTTTACATATAACCCTGTATAGACACATTACTCACCTGGTCCAATTTTAATTTGACATGATCATCTGTCAATTTGACATGCGCACCGTACTTGTCAATTACTTTCTCTATGACGCCTTTGCGTTTGTAATACTTTTCGCCGAGTGATTTTGTCATTATTTTCACTATTACGCCTTCTGTTAGCCAGTAGCTCTTTCTGTAAGAAAAAAATATACGAACGTTATTTTAAACAGTTATTGTCGACAGTTTTATCGATAGAATAGAAGAATACAATCATTGAAAGTATTTCGTCACCCAGTTAGCTACCTTTACAGCTACTAGCCCCGGCTAGAGATGTCGCTATTCGCTGTATTTAAAATGGGTGTAGTACTTTCATAGATTTCTCGCCACGAGTCACGGCTAAAAAGTCGTTGAAAAACCAAATATCGATTGCTTAAAGGACATAAGTGACATTCCACAAATCCACAAAATATCTCCAAATTATGTACCTGTTGTAAGAAAATCACCATCTTTCTGCAGATAAAATCACTTATTGAATTTATAGGTTTTTTGTTATTGAGTTTCATTTGCAGAAAGATGGTGATTTTCTTACAATAGCGATATAAAGACTTTTTGTAGAAAATGTCACTTATGTAGTTTTGCCTTTAAACAGACGATACAAAGATACGACAACAAGCACATAGAAAAATTCGTGAGATCCGCTGGTTCGTTCCGTGGCTTGGTATAGCTATGCTAGAAAACGTCGGTTCGAATACGGCCGGATCGAAGGAATTTTTTCTGAGTGTTCGATATTTGCATTCATAATTATCACAAAGTAGTGGAGTAATTTCACATAAAAAGTAATTGAATATCAATTCAATAAAAATTAAAATACAGTGAATAGCGACATCTCTAGCCGGGACTGGTAGCTGTAAACGTAATATAATCATTTTTTTCCATATTATCAATGTCTATATTACAATTTACGTGATCATCACTAATATAAACAATAATAATTAATATAAAACAGTATAACCTAAAAAATAAACACAAAATATTGTCAAAATACTACGACATCAAATTTTAAACAATGCAATTTCCTCGAAAGAAATTCCTTTACACAAATTTCTTCACTGTAAAATTCATTATCATTCATTATGTAACACTGACCAAAATAAAATAAGCAAGTGTCATCGGCGTGAAGGGAAAGTTTGTTGACATCATTGATGTAAATCACAAACAACAGTGTGCCAAGGATCGATCCTTGAGGAATTCCTGAAGGACTATTACATATAATAGGAATTTTAGAATTTTCGATCCCGCAATTTTGACCACTTGATATCGATCTGTCAGATATGATTCAAAGATTTTGTAAGCGTTACCGGTGTTACCAATCGATTGTAATTTACTTACAATTATTTTGTGACTGACCCTACCAAATGTCTCTTTTAAATCTATATTCTTATATATGAAAAAGATACAAGTACGTCGAATTTTGAAAGACTAGTAATAACGTATATCTTACCCTGTTACTTTGGCAATTTATGAGGAGAAAGACAGCACTTATTTACTGGAATTGATTTTATTGCAGTGTAAATTAAAATAAATCAAAATTTGTAGCGCTGGTCAACGAAGGGGTTGCGTAGTACGACGAATTGAGACGCAAATTTCCGTGTAGAAAGGCGTATATTATCAAAAAGGATAAATTTACAGGGTTGTGGGCCCAACAGCATGTCTCATTAGCGCGAAAGCACAAAACCAAACCACCGAACCTTAAAGTAGCAGAAATAAGACGGAATCGTCTCAACAACTTGAGTGCCGTTCAGTGCCGTATAAATGCTATAGCGGTAGAAAGCATTAACAATTCAACACATGCCATCTAGCGGTGGCGCGATGGAACTAATGACGTGTTAAAGTTGTTGTTGTTGTTGTTGTTACGCATTTCATTTATTAAGTTATAAGGGCGGTAAGTAGGTGATTAAGAACAGAGGCATATTAAAACCCCGAGGTGGAAGCGAGGGCTTTAATAGCTCAAATATTTGCAGTTGCCGTCTCATCTGTGTGGCATACAATATTCGTCACACTTGCGAGAAAGTCAAAAAGAGAAAAACTAGACGAGTTAGAGTTATAGTTCATTTATAAATATTAATATACATAACGACGCGTTATTGACAAAGTTGATTATTGACTATCGAGATATTCGAGTACTTAGTTTATTCGCCAAATCGATGACTGTAGTATTATTATTTTAGAGCGGGTAACACTGAATGGAGTTGTAATGTAAGTGTCAGTGTTCGGCGGGGAAGAAGTTTGACAGGTCACCAGTGGCGTGTGCACTTGCAAACCCTAAGCTCTAAATTTAACTAACTTTGACATTATTATTCACCGCCGGCTTAACGAATTGATAACGAAGATCGTATAGACCAATTATCAAACAATTCGTGACGAGGGAGTTTCCCACAACGTCTCCCTGTATGGTTATACTCCAACATACATTTTTTCAGCATTGAATTTTTTTTGCTTTAACGTTACGTATGAATGAACCAAAAAATCTATTAAATTTAAACACAATAACATCATAAAATAAATAAACGATTTAAAGCCGACTGTATTTATACTAGTTTTGATTAATAAAATAAAAAATCTAGTGCGTTATGGAGTCGCGTCACGTAAGAAGTTTGTAGGCGCTCCTAGCGGGTGGCAGGAGCATCAAAATCAAGAGAGAGGCTGTAAACCGCTAAAGTGCCGTGACCAGGATTACGGCAATAGAATAGAATACACATATTTCATAAATAAAGTCGAAAAAAAAAAGGCTGTAACAAGAAAAGGATATAAAAAATAGGTACAACGCTACAAAACACTTAAGTACTAAAAACGTGAGATAGACTTACCCCGAAAGGGCAGAGTTATACAATATTACTAGGTTAGATTAGTATTAAAATTCGAACATGATTTAGGTTGGGACCTGGTAAAAGAATAACAAATTCACCAATTAAGCAGAAATTGACAACGGAAAGAAAACAAAGTTAGAATGACGGGAAACGGAATTAAAGAACGATTCAAAATTTGAAAACAAGCGGCCTGAAACCAGCGAAAAGGTGATAAATAGGCGAACGATGGAAGGAGGTCGCATCGTCACAGGACCATTACCGCACTAGGGCCGAACGATAAAAACACCGCCTAGTTATACTGCACATTATACTACTAATTACGAGAAAATGTGCTTTAAAATATTTACCTGTTGGCTTTCTCCTTCGCTTGCTCCTCCATCTTCATAATCTCATCCAGAGCGGACTGCCGGTTCTTCTCTTCTGTTTTCTGCTTCTTGCTTGATGTATCTTCTTTTGTCTTTAGTTTGAGTGCTGAAGTGGTGAGATCGGGTTTTTTGTCTAGAACAAAATTTACATTTGTAATTGTAGTTCAACCAAAATCCGCTAGATGACATTGTATCATTTTATGCAAACACTGACAAAATATGGTGTAAGGCTTAATTTAAATTTAAACTATTTATATTAACCATGTTGACTGTAGAATGTTAAAATACAATGTGAAGATTATTACTGGTTAATTATTTTTCTTGTTTAAATAATTTGTAAAACATATCGACTGTGAACTGACAACTTTAAGTTTTTGAGAAGAGAGAGAATTCTCGCACCATCTCCGAAATTCCCGCTCTTGCCGTATCGTATCTAGTTTGTATATTACACAATTGACATTATGCTGTCACAATGTCGTTACAAAAATTCGCTATCATTAATTTTGGCAGAAGCAGTTTCATGAGCCTGCCATGTACTATCTTCAAAAACGTAAAGAAAGGTAAAAGCGCCTAAATATTTAAATAGTTTAAAATTCACACAATATATTTTGCTTTTAGTTTTTTAACAGGCGCTTTTTAATGTCAGGATGTCTACCACGAAATACAGTAGTACGTGACGGTGTCCGCAACGAAGCTGATATGTCGGTTTTACGATGAAAGTAACGCAAAATTCAATACAAAAGCCATGTAAGGGATAATGCAATTACGCGTAACTAGCAGCTTATGAGTCTCCATTAATTTAATCACCAAATAAATTCCGCGTAAATGTCGTGGCAACCAAATTAGCATGATTTACGGGAATCTATTGTTATAAAAATAAATTATCACTTGCAATTGCGAAAATCGTAGCCATTGAAATAACAAAGTAATAACGTTGAATCCCTCTCCTGTGAAATTTGGTTTGGTGCTGATACGAGCTCTTTACCAATACTACATGCGGATTTGCATTATCCCCGACGTTATGTCAAATCACGATCTACGACGTACACGTTTCGTGGTAGCCTCCGGTCCGAAGCTAAAACGATGATTGTTGCTCGTATTTCCTATTTCGCGGTAGACCTCCACATGTAACTTTTTTTTTATAATTATTTGGGAAACAAACAGTTTTTACTTTAGTAGCCTTTTTTTTCTCTTTTGTAGCCTTGCGACACGCTCGTCTACCACCAAAAAACATGAGTACTCAGGACCTGATGGCTGTAAAAGAACTTAGGGCTGATACAACAATTATAGTACTGAAGGCAGACAAGGGAAACGCCACTGTGATTGTGGACGTTGAAGAATACGACCGTAAAATAAAAGCTTTACTGGAGGATGGCATGACATACAAACATGTAACATACAACCCGACCGCCAGAGTGAAACGACAGATGGATGCCATTATTACTGAATGTAGGAGCGCTATCCCAGTTGATATTGAAAAACAACTATTACGTCCACGTATCGTCCAACCGCCGAGGCTGTATGGCACAAACGTATCAATAAAGGAGTGCATCGACGTTATCAAAGTGAAACTTCAAGAAAATAACATCCCACTTCACATCATCACCCAAAACACCTGCATTCTGTCGTCAGGTCATTAACCAATAGAGCTTATGATCTTTGTGATGCACACCACATACCACAGGAACAGGAGCACGTTAAGACGGTTTTGCGACAGAATGGATACAAAATAAAAACATTTAAACCAATACACAAAAGCAAGAAGCAAATTGACGTACAGAGACTACCAGTTTTTCTGCCCTATGTACAAGGGGTGACAGATAAAATAGCCAGGTTGCTAAGGAAGTTTTCCATAAAAACTGTTTTCATCCCCTTAACCAAAATAGGAAAAATGTTACGTTCACCAAAAGACCACCTTCCTTTACAAACACCGGGTGTCTATAAAGTGAACTGCAGTTGTGGGAGCTCGTATATCGGTCAGACTAAGCGAACAATTGTCGATCGTATGAAGGAACACATACGAGCAGTAAAAAACAATGATGCACAGAAGTCGGCTATAGCACAACATGTCACACAGACTGACACTAACCACTGGATCGAGTTGCCCCCAGGTACTCTCGACAGAACGTCACTACATACCACGGTTGGTACGAGAAGCCATCGAGATCACGAAGTACAAAACATTTAACCGTGATGATCGTTTAAACTGTCCAGTGCATGGAATCCGGTCCTTAGTGCGTGCAGTAATAAAAACAAAAACACCTCGAGTTCAGTTTCGCGTGTGGATACAGTGAGTGTGGTTTGTGTGAAAAAAGTGAGTGACAATGGTAACGCCACAACAAATTGCGATGAAGGTAGTCGTCGACAGCGCAAGAGGGTAGACAGATATGTCTGCTCTTAAAGCTGTTATCTGCCGCCGTCCATTCAACCCGTGACCATGGAGCGTGCAACCGTTCCGAAATATCGGGACAATAAAAAGAAGTCATACCGTGGTAAGAAACCTGATATGAGTGATAATCATTTAGTTTTTACTTTGTTTACAAGATTCTATTCCAAAAAAAGCAATTTAGGGAATGAATGACTTTTGAGGTCGGCTTATTTTTATTAAATAAATTTGACCCATTGTTCTTGAAACAAGTCAACACTAACCTTCCGTTTTCCTCTTCAAATTAATATTCAAAGTGAGTTTCTCCTGACTGCTCTCTCTTTTAAACTCTGAGTAAGTTGGTTCCTCTGATGTGGTCCCTTCCTTCTTTCCACGCTCCACTTGCTTCTGGATGAATTCTAGCATACGTTCCTGTCACAGAAAAACATTAACACTAAACATATTGCCATAAATATTAGTGTATGTAATTTGAGTTCAAATCCCGAACCGAAGATAGTTTAGTTCCTACCTCTACAAAATGAAATGGAAATCAGGAAATCCTACCTCTGAAATGGAAAAAAAGCGGAAAAAGAAAGTAAAAAAAGGGGAGAGGGAAGCGGGAATCCGAAACTGGGAGTTAGAATTTTTTTTAACATCAAGCGACGGGACGAACAAGTTTTGCGCCTGGTGGTAAATGACACGCCTATCGGTAACATTTGCAGTGCCACTCAAATTTGAAGTCGCAGAGAGCTGAGGAGAACAGTGCCCGACACCCTGAGACATAAGTTGACAAGTCCCATCTGTCCTGTAATTTCACCAGCACCCTTACCCTTCCTAACCGAAACGCATAAGGACAATACTAGTCTGGACAAACTCTTATATGAGATAAGGGCTAGAGCTGGAAGATAGTAACAATATGTCGAGCAATAAAGATGCATTTGTTAAAACTATTTGTGTCAACAAAATGGAAGTTATTTATTCTTGTTTTACTTATCAAACTATAACATTATTTTTGGGAACGCAAAATACTACCTGGTCATCCTTATCCATTTTCTCTTTCTTTGCCTTGGCTTCCTGGGCAGCTATAGCTGCTGGGTCTCGGTCTATGTAAGCCACGAACCATCCCTTTTCCGTTTCGTCAACAACACATTTCGATTCTCGGCCAAGCCATTTCACAAATTCTGTTAGAGTCTCCCATTGAGTCGCATTCATGTGGAGATGGTCTCTGGAAATAAGTACAAGAGAATAGAATAGATATTTATTGCAACGCCACAAGATATTCACACAAACAAAAGATTAATAGTACTTAGGCCAACAAAACTTTGACTAGTAAATGAGAAACTCACAACCTGTCATATATAGAGGAATGGAGAGAAGTATGCTGGGATTCTCTCTAAGAGACAAAAACAGAGCTACGGACATACGAAGGACCACCAAATTGGAGGATGTCACCACAAAAATCAAAACGCTAAAGTGGAAGTTGACTGGCCACATGTACAGGGAAAAAATAGAAAGGTAACAGAATGGTTACCAAGAGAAAACGCCAAGAGGAAAAGAGGTCGTCCCTTTGAAAGATGGTCCAACGACTATAAAAAAATAGCTGGACCTCTATGAACTACGCTAACGAGGGACAGAGCCAGATGGATAGAGATAGAGACCTATGCGTCTTCGGGATGCGCTGATGTTATAGTTTAAGTAATTTATGAATATAATAGTCAATATAATTGAATGTCAGTATAGTATAGGTTAATAAAACAAAAACCAACAAAACAGAACAAAAAGAATTAAAAACCAAAATAAAAAATACAAAATCATAAAAAAACAACATAAAGAAAAGCAAAACAAAAAAAAGCAATATATAAAATAAATATAACTACTACAAAGTACTGTCATTTGTGTGGCTCTGCCGTCCACTAACTAAAATGCGGCTAACTGACAAACGATCAAATAACCGTTTTAAATAGCAAACAACCTCAGTACAGAGTACTAAAAAACCAACTTCATAAAGTCAAAAGTCATTCATCCCCTAGTTTACCACCCTTAGAGGTCGAATATTTTCTTCAAATTGAAATAGGACCACTTCTGAGTTACCTTCTTTCCAACAAAAAAGAATAATCAAAATCGGTTCACAAATGGCGGAGTTATCGCGTAACGTACATACACAAAAAAAACATACAGTCGACTTGAGAACCTCCTCCTTTTTTGAAGTCGTTTAAAAATAGAGCACAAAATTCTCTTTTAAAAACAGTTGAAATTAGTTAACGTGTTCGACTGATCGGAACTGACCCTAACGATGCATAGCTGAAACATTAAACAATTTCAGTATTCTAAAACTGGGTTATGGTTTTTTAGGATATCTCAAAAAAATATTTTGTCACGTAGCCGCGTTTTATAAATGGCAGGGCTGTGGCATGCGCAAAAGGCATATATGTCACAGCCATAACTGGATTGTGGCTCTGGTTTTCAATGAAGCCGAAAAATAGTAAATAAGCAATCTCAAACTTTCAAAATCTGGGTACAAATAGTTCAATTGCTCAATGTTCGATGGAAACTTCACAAACATTATTAAAATGCTTTCCAGATGTGTGCAGATTTCCTCACAATGTCTTACTTCACCGAAAAGCTCATTGTAAATTTCAAATTAAATTACGCACATAAGTTCTGAAATACTCAGAGGTGCAAGCCAAGTCTCACAACCCACTACTCCAGAGGCAGTAGGTCAAAAAGCTACCATGGTTTAATTTCAAAATCAAACATTTTGTTATCTAATAAACATACTATTAGATTACTATCTAAATATATTTATATTATATTTAACTATCTGATTAATGTATATTAGCTTTTTTGAACTGTAGTGCAATAAAAATTTAATAAAAATTATTTTACAACTGCTGTTTATTTGAATGACAGAAATGCGTGGTAGTAACTCCTACTTTTATGTAGGAGTTACTACCATGTTTCCAAAATGTTTGAAATAATTACTCTAAATGGTAAATGCTCTGTAATGTCTATTTTATCATACAGGTCACTAATTCATTACAGCTTTAGAAGCTCATAGTAATAATTGTAGCTGCCAAATAACCATTGTGTCAAAATTTACTTGAAAATTACTTATAGACAAAAAACTCATAAAATACCTTCTATGCACCCAATGACCCTAATTGGGGACACCGTTATATACGACCGTCTGAAGCTTTCAAAAACACTATTTTTCTTGATTATATAATTTTTATTGTATAGTATTTATTGACACCTCTATTCCGCCCCTTACAATTACAACCATTAACTGACCTATTGTAATCACCACTAATTACAGTTTGGAGCCAAGGACAACTGCATTAAAGAACTGAAGGACTTTCCTGGTCTCGACAGTTTTGATGCCTCTGGTTGTGGCCTGTGCCTTCACAATATGGAACCTCATACACCTAGAATGGAGCAACATTGGGTAAAGAATCGCAGAGGAGTTTCAACCAACTCGTGGCAGAATCTACTCTTTAATTTCTCTCTACTTAGAGATAATAGAGAGTAGACTCTCTAAGCAGTGTATTAAAACCGATCTGGACTTATGGGGTACAATAGTGGTCAACAGCCAGCAAAACAAATTTACTTAGCCTTCAAAGTGCCCAAAATAACATTGTCACAATATTAATTGCTGCACCCTGGTACGCTCGCAACTCCGAAATATGCAACTATCTGGAAATGCCAACAGTTCTCGAAGTAACTAAACACCATACAGTTCACTGCAGGCATAGACTAGGAGTTCATCCTAACCCATTGCCCCAAATACTGTTGCTGCCAAATACAATTGTGTGCACAGACGTGCTGTACAATTAAGGGGAAATGAGGCAATGGCCTTAATCTTCTGGAACGCCCTATATCTTCCAACACATCTGATTAATATCTGGTTGAATGCAGATTTGAAGAGAGAAAAAAAATTGTCTTCGACATGTGTATGTTTTTTTTTTTAGATAATGCACACACTCAACATAGCCACAATAGGGGAACACGCCAGTGTCATGGGTGCCATGGACACACACTTAGACAACTATAAATTACACCCAAACTCACGAGAAATAAATGAAGACCATACAAATATTTCTCCCGGCCCAGTAATTGAACCTGAAAACTCTGCGTGGCAGCCCAGCATGGTAACCGTTCGGCTACAGAAGCAGTTGTTGAAACCACAATGCCCTCTTAAGGCTCTTGTCAGCATTCTCATGCCATTTCTGTGTAATGACAAACCTTTTCTATTGTATTTTCTTCTATACAGCACTGTAGGCAACTATCAGGGCTTTTGAATGCTCAAGATTCTCTGTAGCCAGACATCTCGGGAGACTTGTGTGCCAGAGCACAGCTCGGTTAGGGTGTTCGAAAGGAGGCACTATGAAAACATAACTTAGAAAAATTTCAAATCATTTTTAAAATTTAGTTTCTTAATGCTTATTTCGGATAAATTGGACTTAATTAAAAATTTTTTGTACTTATTATACTATACTATAAACTATACTATACATTTTTTTCTACGCTTTATAGTTTCGGAGAAAATTGAACTGGAAAATCTTTTTTGGGACAGTTAAAATTCAATACAAATTTTTTTAGGCTATCGTAACTTACTTTTAAAAGTACTAGAAGCGAATT